TCCTTACCCCGCGCGCGCGCACCTCCTGACCCGGGGTCAGGGCTGGCGGCGGCCCGTCGCGGTGGTGGCGCTGTCCTTTGGCGGCGGGGCGGCCTGGTGGCGCAGGTTGGCCGGCGGCACGTCCCCGGCCCAGGTCTGGGCCCTTAGGGCCCCATCTGGGTCCTAGCGGGTCGGCCCCCGAGCGTGGCCTCGTTGTTTGCGACGCGGTGAGGAGGAGCGGCTCGGATTTGGGGCGGCGGCACCGACGACGTGCCGGCAGCAACGCGAAGGCGGGAGCTTTACGGGCCTACGAGGGCTCGGTCGGGCCTGTGGGCCCACGGGCCTGGTGTGCTCCTGCTATTGCGTCCGGACGGCTACCGTCGCGGACGGTGGAGGTGGGGCCCTTCCGCGTGCCGACGGTGCTGATGCCCTAGTCCCGGCTTTGATTCTTCGCCGTGCTGTCCTCACTTCGCGGTGCCGTGGTGAGACGGCATGGGGGCCTCATGACCATGTTGACGCACAGTGGTTGTTGGTTTGGTGGCAGGCTCCGGGGCGCCCGAGGTGCGGGTTGGGATCGGGGGAAACCCCTGTCGGCATGGCCAACACCGGCGCGATGGCGCCTGTGGGTACCACCTGACCTTTCGGGAGGGCGTCGGGGCTACCCTTCCTCTCGCCTCGTCGTGTACCGAGGGAAACCCTTGGCGGCAGCATCATCATCGTCGCGGTCCTTCTTGGAGGTGTTGATAGGTGCTGGCGCTTCGGAGTCTTGGAGTCTAGTGGAAGATCCTGGTGGGCGCTGCGATCGCGAGGCTTCTTCGTTTTTGTTGATCCGCCGTTGTCGGCATTTGTTTCTTTTGCTTTTCTCTGTCGTTTCTTTTGGGCGTGACTGTGCTGCTTCCGCCCCAGCACCTATCCATGTATGGCTCGGCTGCTTGCTTTGTATACAAAGCGGGGGGAAACCCTTTTTCGGCAAACAGACTACTTCTAGCAAGGATTGTTCATAAAGCCTCCCAACTTGACTTGATAAGACTAGAGGTGTAGTGCATTGGTCACAACCAGGAATAACTTTGTTTCTTCTCCGTTATCAATAACATCACTGGTAGTAACTCCGGGTTACATATAATTTATCCTCTCTTTTTATGTGCACCTTTACTTACTATGAGGATATTCATTAAACATGGAGCTAATAAGAAAAAGAAAACCAGACGCTAGATTTGCATCACCAAATTTAGCTTCAACACTACTAAAAAATGTTGAGTCAATCAAATGTGGTTGATCATGAGAACTTGAGCATGTCTCTAGTGTTTTGTGATTATAAGATAGAGACACTCTATGAACCAGGAAATAGAACATACGAGGTGAAAAGTTGCAACACAACCAAGGGGGTAACATGTATCTATAACATCATTGACTAAACTTGTGTGACAGAAGTATGCTAAATTGTATGACCCATTGCTTCAAAGTAAAATTTCTTTCACAGTGTGACCAAGACAAGCGGCAACAAAGTATTTGACCAAACATTGCACAAGAAAGAGAAGAAAGTCATACCTTTTCATCTCTATTGTACATGCATTTCAGCAATTCAGCGTGATCATCAGCACACAAAGCTTGCTTCAGCAAAATATAGACTGAATCTGCACTCGGCGGCGCCAGAGAGGCTGATTGCTCTTCAAGGAATTCAGACTTATTGAGCAAATTTAGACTCTCGAGTTTCTGCTCCATAGTTGGTTCATCTAGATTATACTCTGGATTCACCTCCTTGACTGTGTCTAAACTTTCCAGCAAAATAGAGAAGTTAGTGATCAGAAAGGTAGAAAATGAAGGACACCTTAAATTTGTTTCTTCATGGTATACACTCAATGCTTATTACAGCATCAGGTCTGAATGTACTTCAAATTAACAGGGCTAATTGTTACCAGTGATAGAATCCAAAACAGACGCTGTCCTTTTGTTTGGTCTTCCTTGACGAGTGAGGTTTGTATTCTCCTGTCGATCTTGTTCATCATCCATCTTGTTATTTACTGGTGCCATAAAGAAACAAGTAACCAGTTGAGATCAACGGTAGGCATTTAACAAAGTACATAATCTCTAACTTTAATAGCATACTTAGTCGTAAGAAAATATGGAGACAAAGTATAAATCTTGTGATCGGTTTAAAAGGTACCGAGACCCAACGAAAATGCCAGTAGTGTCAAAACATGCATGCTGTAACCACAGAAATCATCTCTCTCATATGTTGCTTTGTTATTCTATTATTGTTGACTACTGTATTATATCTAATCTGGCACACAAAGTACTGCCTATTTTCTGCTTCCTATGATGTTGGTATCTCGCTTCCATCAGCTGTAAATTAGCATCTGAGAGCCCTGTGTAACCATCATCTATAATAGAACAACAAAATAACACAATGGTTCATTGTGCCAGACCATCACGTTTATAAACAGGAGTCAAAAGTGGCTTATCATCGAATTAAGCAATTTATCACAAAATAATAATAATAATAATAATAAAGCCACTAACAACTTGACAAATAATATAGAAATTAGAGTGGTGCTTCCATGATTTCCAAAATGCTAATTGCAGAAAACTAAAGCGGTGCAGTTACTATGTGTACTGATGATTGCAAATTACATCCTCGTTTTGCTTTTAAAAGTGTGCTTTTCGCTTATCTGAAAAGCGCTGAAGCACTGCATCAGGTCATAAATTATGATAAAACATTCCAGTTAATTAGGTGTGATTTATATTTCATTATCATGCAGCTACAAGCCACATAACATGCCACAAGTGTTTGGCTAAGTGCATCACCTTTTCATCAACAGAACATCTACTTACATGTTCTGTCTACTTCCAAATTGGCCATACATTAGTTAATTATAGGCTAGCTGCTATCTAAGTAACTCGTTTTATCTGGAAATGAGAAGTACTTGTCACTGTAGAGAAACCTTCAAAACGGACCACAAACAGACACAGGGACTTTAAGATTTGTGAAAATATACAGTAATGCTAATAGGATAGGCTAAGCCAAAGTTGTGGCTTACAAGATATGAATGCTCACATTATATCCTGATGAACAACTGAAACATTTTTAACACCATAGAATATATTGCAGATACTAGACACGTCCAACAGTAAAAGCACATCTTCCCATGGCAACAAACTCGCAAAAGCAAAATCAAATCACAAGAAAAGAGGGAGAACAGTATCTGCTGTTATATAACCAGGAACATCTGTCAAAATTAACTTTCAGTACTATGAAGATAATTCCCTATGCATGTTCATTGACTTTACTGTGCTAATAATGATGGTTGGACAGCAACAGCGATTTGAACAAACCTTTTGCATCTTGCTCTTCTGAAGCTAATGCATCAGATTCCGCAACCAAGTTGATGTCCTCACAATTCTCACCCAATACAACAATCTTGAACTGTAAACAGTCTAGTGATCCAAACACAACATGAACCTTAATTGTGTTGTCTTCTTTGACATCACATAACTTGGCTAAAATAATTGGGACACGGCCCTTTTTATCAAGTGATTTTTTTACTGAAATTTTGGTGGGCAGTATTTCATCTTGGGAAAGGGTCTGCAAATCCCACACATAAGCCACACCTTTCTTTGATACTGCAAGAACAATTCCCCCGGCTTTAGATGATGTGCTCCTTTTACACTCTACTGTCTTTGGCTGAGTATGCATGGCAAGAGAGACTGTAGAAACAACAGTGCAATTTTGGTGATCACAAGACCAGACTTTGACTTCTTTATTATTGTCAGTATAAGAAACTAATGTGTGTGCTTCATCGGACACAGACATCAGCTGGATAGGGCCCTGCAATCACAATGGCACCGATAAAAATTAAGGCCTCTTTCATTACGTGGCACAACTGCGAGAGAGAGGAGGGTCGGGGGGTGGGGGCAAGTACGGAATAAGAGTAAGAATAACATACATCATCAGAAGGAATCTTCAGAATCTCTTTTTTGTCCTTCATACTATATAGTTTTGTTGTCTTACCTGAGACAACCATAAACTTCTCATCTGCAAAGTGCAGGGCTACAATATAAGTCCAGAAAACACACAAAGTTGAGAAGATAATATGTAAAGCAAGATCTAAACAATAATGACCTAAGAGTGCTATATTCACGAAAGACTGGAAGTTAATATTTGTTCCAATACACTCGATAAACTAAATATATTTGAGCACTAAAGGTGCAAACATATACAATATAGTGCTTCCACCTGAGTTTGTTCCTGGCAGGGTGGCACCCGCAGTTTATGTTATTTCGAGAAAGAAATATGTTTTACTGGCAATCCTCATACATGCTCTAAAGGCTAGTGCTTGGGCTAAAGAGGTCGCCCAGCACCAGCCACATAACCATTAGGAGAGTTAGTTAATTAGGGAAAGAGTAATAGAATTAGGCAATATCAGTTTGCTTCAGTATACTTAGGAAGATCGGAGATAGAGAACGTGTCCTGTGGGACAAGTCTCCTCCCATGTCAAGTTTGGTCTAACCCGACCTCTCTTGACATTATCAGCATGCTTTAGCCATCCGCTATGCACTAGAGCTGTAGGCCTGCACTGAATATGCCCAAACCATCTCAGACGATGTTGGACAAACTTCTCTTCAATCTGTGCTACCCCAAGTCTATCCCGTATAGCATCATTCCAGGCCCGATCCTTACTTGTGTGACCACACAACCATCTCAACATGCGCATCTCCACTACACCAAACTGTTGAACATGTCACCTTTTAGTTGGCCAACACTCAGCACCATACAACATTGTGGGTCGAATCGCCGTCCTATAGAACCTGCCTTTTAGCTTTTGTGGCACTCTCTTGTCACAGAGAACGCCAGAAACCTGGCGCCACTTCATTCATCCAGCTTTGATTCGATGGCTCACATCTTCATCGATATCACCATCCTTCTGCAGCATTGACCTCAAAAATATCGAAAGGTGTCCTTCTGAGGTACCACCTGCCCATCAAGGATGACCTCAACCTCGTGCCTAGTAGTACTAAAACCGCACCTCATGTATTCGGCTTTAGTTCTACTAAGCCTAAAGCCTTTCGATTCCAAGGTTTGTCTCCATAGCTCTAACTTTCTATTGATCCCCGTCCGACTATCATCGACTAGCACCACATCATCCGCAAAGAGCAAGCACCATGGGGTATCTCCTTGTATATCCCTTGTGACCTCATCCATCACCAAAGAAAAAAGATAAGGGCTCAAAGCTGACCCTTGATGCGGTCCTATTTTAATCAGGAAGTCATCAGTGTCGGTGTCGCCATCACTTGTTCGAACACTTGTCACAACATTATCGCCTTGATGAGGGTAATGTACTTTGTTGGGACTTTATGCTTCTCCAAGGCTCACCACATAACATTCCGCAGTATCTTATCATAGGCCTTCTCCAAGTCAATGAACACCATATGCAGGTCCTTCCTTTGCTCCCTATATCTCTCCATAAGTTGTTGTACCAAGAAGATGGCTTCCATGGTTGACCTCCCAGGCATGAAACCAAACTGATTTTTGGTCGTGTGTGTCATTCTTCAATGTGCTCAATAACTTTCTCCGATAGCTTCATTGTATGGCTCATCAGCTTAATTCAACAGTAATTAGTACAACTTTGAGCACCCCCCTTGTTCTTGAAGATCGATAGTAATATACTCCGCCACCATTCCTATGGCATCTTGTTAGCCCGAAAGATGAGTTTGAAAAGCTTAGTTAGCCATATTATTGCTATGCCTTCGAGGCCTCTCTACACCTCAATGGGGATACAATCAGGGCCCATCGCCTTGCCTTCTTTCATCCTTTTTAAAGCCTCCCTGACCTCAGACTCCTGAATTCGCTGCACAAAACACCTGCTAGTACCATCAAAGGAGTCGTCCAGTTCAATGGTAGAGCTCTCATTCTCTCCATTGAACAGCTTGTCGCCATCTATGCTTAATCTCCTCGTCCTTCACCAGGAGTGGGTCTGCTCCATCCTTGATGCATTTGACTTGGTCGACATCCCTCGTCTTCCTCTTATAGATGTCCCTTTTGCCTTCCTTTGTGTGTAGAGGTCCTCATACGCCTGACCCTTTGCTTCACCTCACAGCTCGCATTGCGGCCTTCTTTGCCACCTTGTACTTCTCTATGTTGTCTGCACTCCTAGCTAGGTGTAGTCGTCTGAAACAATCCTTCTTCTCCTTAGTAGCCTTCTGGACATCATCATTCCACAACCAGGTATCTTTAGCTTCGCTTCTACACTCCAAACTCCTCTGAAGCCACCTTATGAATGCAAGTCGCCATCTTCATCCACATATTGTCTGCATCACCTCCTTCCTCCCAAGGGCCCTCCTTAATGACCCTCTCCTTGAAAGCCTAAGTTACCTCCCCCTTGAGCTTCCAACACTTTGTTCTAGAGACTTTGGCGCCCTTATCCCGTTGGACACGAATCCGAAAGCAGAAGTCAGCCACCTCAAGCTTATGCTGAGGGACAACACTCTCCAGATATCACCACAAGCTTACGCCTGTCTTCTCTTCTTGAGAGGATGAAATCAGTCTGGCCAGAGTGTTGACCACTACTAGAAGTCACTAGATGCGATTCTCTCTTTTTAAAAGAGGGTGTTAGCTATAATCATGTCGTAGGCTAGAGCAAAGCTCAAAGGCATCTCCTCCTTGATTCCTGATGCCATAGCCAAAGCCCCCATGCACCCCTTCAAAACCTGTGTTAGATGTACCCACGTGGCCATTGAGGTCTCCTCCTATGAAGAGCTTCTCGCCAATAGGTACACTCCTAACCATGTCCTTGGGGCCTTCCCAGAACTCCCTTTTGGTGTTCTCATTGTGGCCTACTTGCGAGGCATACACGCTAATAACATTGGGAACTAAGTCCCCAACTACCAGCTTGACCAGAATAACCCAGTCCCCACACCTCTTGACTCTACCACTCCATACTTGAGGCTCTTGTTGATCAAGATACCAATTTCATTTCTGTTTACAGTTGTCCCCATGTACCACAGCTTTAAGCCAGTATCCTCCACCTCCTTCGCCTTCTGTCCCCTCCATTTGGTTTCTTGGACGCAAAGGATAACAGCAGCTCTCCTTACTGTTGTATCAACTAGCTCCCGTAGCTTACCTGTCAGGGACTCTACATTCCAGCTACCTGAGTGGGTCCTCCTAGGCTGGGCTAGCTTCCTTGCCCTTCACACTCGTCAAGTCAAATGCTAAGACCCTTGCTCATTTTTCACTACACCGGGCATCGATGTAGCGCACCACTAAGGATGTGACGACCTGATCCTTGCTCAATTGTCACCATATCCAGATCAAGATTCGGCACGCCAACAAGGGGGTGACGGCCCGGCCCTTGCCCATTTGACAGCACACCCGGGTTCCGATATGGCGCGTCGTCAGCCTATCACAACCCTCCTCCTTCACCCGGGCTTGGGACTGGCTATGTTGAGACGACATAGGAGCAATAAAATAAACAAAATTTTACAGGCCTTAGAGCTTCCACACCAGGGACCAGCACTCTACCCTTGTTGAGGGTGAATGCCATGTCCCTGGTCTTCAAGTCCTCTGCCCAATATATATTGTTGTGGATCAAGGTCCATAACAGGCCCACATGATGATGAACAAATATTTAAGGAAATCAGATGAGATCCTTCCTAATGTAATTCACACTGCTTCACACATAACCCAAACATTTTAGTGAAGATCCTATCATGAATACAACAAACACGTGAAACTTTAATATAAAGATATCTTGTTAAGTATGCATAAAGTAAGAGCACATGGAGACAAAGGTTGCACTTACCATGAGAAACTGTCAAAGAATTAATTGACTTTTTCGAAGCTTTTAATGTGTCTTTGGATTTTCCAGTCCAAGTATCCAATTCACATATAACTCCATCCCTGCTAGCAGTAATAAGAACACACCCTTGTTTCGAAAAGTGAAGAGAAATGACCTTGCTAGTAGGAAGAGAAAGGCATGTTAGTAGGCATCAATGTTTTCACAGTGAAGTCATTCTAAAGATATCTTGAACTAGCTGATGTTTTCTTACAGAATGCAGTTTCTATCAGGTTTTCTTTGGAACCACATAGAGTCAGCTTATGACCTAAAAAAACTAAAGTGGCTTAAAAAGTTAAAATTTTAGCATATGGGCTATAGCCTTGATCGTGGCAACGGAATTAAGCTCATGTTGCATGTGTAAGTATGACCAACTTGACCTTCTCATTATTGAGTTCAAAAGAACAAAAAATAATAATTGAAGAACAGATTCATCCATGCTTGGACAGTTGGACTTAGGTGAGAAACTGAGCTTCAGCATCTCAGAATGAAGAAGGAAACAGAAACTTATGAATAGGCCAAAAGAATATGTGGCTAGAAGATAGTGTATAGCCCTTCAGGAATTGCCACTATTTAATTTCAACTACCATCGAGGTGCAAGGATTAGACTATGTGGTTAGAAGATAGTGTATAGCCCTTTCTTTCTAAGCATCTACAGCATCAACCATAATCAACATGGTAGTCCTACAAACAAATCAACACGGTGTTTATCAAAGAAATATGAGGGGCCCTTCTATTGCAGAAGACACCAACTACAAGGAACCAGCATGTGTGTTCATCAAGGCAAAAGATGTATGCCAGACGATTTTAGAGTTATTAAAATGAGTTCAGAGGGGAAAGTACTCAACGAAAGTTCAGTATCTGGTATGGTTCCTATTTTACATGACAGAAGAATAGAAACAGCGCAGGAGAAGCCTCGTGATTAGAGTTACAAAATCAACAATACCAAGTTCGTAATAAGGTTTCACATACCCAGTGTGACAAGCACTTTTCCATATAACACCAGTAGAATCAAGAGCTAAAACTACACCATTTGCAGTGCCAACAGCAACCTATGTTTTCAAGGCGCCCAGGCGCTTTAAGGCGCTGGGGGGGCGCCTCAACGCCTAGGCGCTCAAAGCGCGAGGCGAGGCGACGCCTTAGACACTTATTATTAGGCGGTAGGGGTACTAATATGGCGGAGGAGCTTGGCTGGAGAGGGGGAGGACCGGCGGAGATGGATCTTGGCCGGAGAGGGGAAGGGCCTGTGGAGGAGGAGCTTGGCCGGACAGGGGGAGGCCGGCGGAGGAGTAGCGGATCTGGGCCGGCGGCGTGAGAGGAGAGAGCTCCTCTCTCTTTTCCCCTCGATTTGGAGTCACGGGTGTGTTCCCCTCTCTCTCCTGCCTCTGTTTACCCCCTCTCTCCCGCCCAATTTCTCTTCCCTCCCGCCAATTCCTCTTTCTGGCGCGCGCCAGCTGCTGGTTCCCGCTCAACCTGCCCACGCATGTCCAGGGCGTCCAAAATCAACTAAAGCGGCGCCTTATCCGCCTAGGCGACGCCTTGGACGCCTTAGACAGAAAACTAAGGCGACGACGACGCCTTGACGTCCCCGAGCGCTCTGACGCCTAAGCGTCGCCTAGGCGACGCCTAGGCGACGCCTTGAAAACATAGACAGCAACAACAATAAGGTCGCCATCCTTTTTGTGCTGTAAAAAAACCAACAATCAAAACCTGAAATAATACAACAGTACAGGAGATACCAACTAAGCTCAACACAAAGTACCTTCTTCTGAACAGAGCTGCAGGCAATGCAACTGTATGAATCATCATGGGCTGCTATTGGATCAGTCCATCCTGCTATCTTTTGTCCTTCTCTTGTACTCCATACCTTCCCAATTAATAATTTCAAGTGAAGAAAATAGAATATGTCAGCATATAGGGTAACTACGTAGAAGGGGAGCCTTGGCGCAGTGGTAAAGCTGCTGCCTTGTGACCATGAGGTCATGGGTTCAAGTCCTGGAAACAGCCTCTTACAGAAATGTAGGGAAAGGCTGCGTACTATAGACCCAAAGTGGTCGGACCCTTCCCTGGACCCTGCGCAAGCGGGAGCTACATGCACCAGGTTGCCCTTTATAGGGTAACTACGTACTCACATACTTCCATTCCAGTTCACAATGGAAAAAGATGAGAAATGCAGTGTATCAAAAAGGCAGAAAATAGAAATACTACAAAAAGATATTGTTTCCAATAGCGCCCTACTATAATATTGCTAGCTAGATGGGGCACCCCAATGAACAGAAATATTTAATTCTAACAATCCTATCTTCCCAAGCATGAATCTACTGATACCATATAAAGTTAAATGTTTCATTTTCTCTCATAGATGGATGAACGAGCAGAAAATGCAAAAAGCTTGCATGAGGTGCTAAATGCTGGCAGCTATGTAACCCAGTAAACATCACTTGACACTTTCAAGTAAATTCCAACAAGAAAATCCATGTAAGCATCAATTTTCAACCATTTTTGCTTACAAGGAGGCTTGTACCTCAAATCCATACCTCTTTAGAACAGTATAAGCAGCAATCATACTAAAACTCACAACACGGAACTCTTTATTTAGAACACTCTTTATAAACAGCTGATAACAAATTGCTCACCCGGCTTCACAGCTAGTTACTTACAAAGAAATGGATCAAAGTGTCATAGCCCCGGTTCCACAATTTTATTGAGGCCCTGTTTGGTTCATAAGTCATAGGACTTTTTCTAGTCCCAACTAAAAAGTCCCTAGTCCCTAAAAAGTCCCTCCCTGTTTGTTTCCAGGGACTAAAAAGTCCCTAGTCTCTCCCTAGAGGTTATTAAATGACCATGTTACCCCTGGTATATAGAAAAATAACAACCAAATAACACCATGGGGTGGCGGGCCAATGGGTGCATGGAGGGGCATTGTTGGAAAAGTCTCAAAAAGTCCCAAAAAAGACTCTCCTTGAGAGTCTTCTTCATTTAGTCCCAAAAAGCAACTTTTAGTCCCTAGTAGTCCCTCCTGTTTGGTTAAAAAGTCTCTAAGAGGGACTTTTTCTAGTACCTACATCAAAAAGTCCCTGGAAACAAACACCCCCTGAAAGGAGAAACCACGCCGATTAGTTAGTTAGAAAATGACAAGGGGCTTAAGTAGATACCACAGCGATTAGCGAGTGATGTGTGGCCTTTAATTTCTCCCTTTAACCTTTAGATTTTTATGCTGTCGATTTAATGCCGATGCGTGCAACCGGTTAATGCGATTCCAATCGACTTTACTCCTCCTTTAATTATGCCTTTAATTGTTTTTTTCTCACGGTCCTTCAATTTAAATCAGCCGCATACGTTTAGATATTTTATCGCGCCACATTCTCTCTGATCTAGGAAATGACATTAAGTAGATACCTCAAAAATAGAAAATAAAAGAGTACTATACCAAAGAAATATTTACCACCGCTACAAGCAACACATAACACACCAGAAACTAGCTTCGCCCGGTAGCAACTATCAATCGCCATGATAAAATGAACATGGGAGGTAATTAGCAACTTGCTGGCATGCAACCCTACATTTCAACCACGGGACATCTCGCAGGGATTAACAATCCAGATCAGAGAGTTCCCCAGTTCACAGCGACAGACTAGAGAGCTAGCCAGCTCGTAAAAATGGGGTTTAGGCGGGGGCAGTGAGGCGAAGCGAGTACCTGGATTCGCCGACCGGAGACGGCTGCGAAGAGCTCTCCGTCAGAAGAGAAGGCGAAGGCGTCGGGCGGCGGCGGGGTTGCGGCCATGGCTTGGCGGTAACGGCGTAGGGGCGCGGATAGTGGAGGGCGGAGGGGAGGGTTTCTATTTTTTTTAGAGACTAGAGACTAGAGAACAATGTAAGTGCATGGCGACGGGATATAAATATCCTAGTACATTAGCTTATCTGTAAATAATAATATAATTATGTAAATAAATGTTCATCAAATTCTGTCCGTGAATTACCTTATATTTTGATTAGAAGATTGATAATAAGTAAATTAAAGTGTAATTGGTTGAGAAGGTAAATAAATTAAGATGATTAATTATCATATACATGAAAGGTTGGACCAAGGAATGATGGGAAGAAAGATGAAATAGAAACCTTACATTCTTTTTAAGTAGTATGCTCCCTACCATCGCACTATGGGTCCTGACATAGCCCGCTTCAGCCTGGATGATCAGTCCTGCGTTAGTCTCGAGATTGACAATAATTGGCCCTTCCCAGAGAATCACTTCTGGTTCAAAGCAAGCGTTTTCAACGCCGATGAGTGGTTGAGCTGAAGTTCATTTCATCGCTTTGTTATTTGTTGTGTGAGAAAAACTTTACTTTACTAGAATGTTTTGTTGGAAATGATCTATAATCCAATGTGTATCCTCGTTGTCGTTGTGGGTTGATGACTTGTTGTATGTAATCAATGGTACATTTGCATATGCGTCCATCAACTCACGCCTGCTAGTGCTGTCCATACGAACAGTGCCAGTGATTTTAGTTGAAAAATAAGATAGTGCTAGTGATTTTTAGCTGCATATTTTGACAAATCGCAGTGTTACAAGGTTGACAAATGACAATGTTACTATATAAACAAATGTCAATCTTTTCAGTTTGACAAATGGCAACATACCCAAAATGACAAATGCAAATTTTACCCAATTGTTTCTACATGGGTGCATACGGGTCATGCAAAACAACGGTTTGCGTTGAAGGGATGCAGAAATCCTGCTCGGCACATTTTCCCTTAGTTTCGTGGGGAAGCTGTCGGTTTGCATACAGGTGTTCTAACTAAAACGTTTGCGATGAGTGTTTTATATTTAAAAACCATTGACGTGTTTTTTCAAAAGAAAAAGCATTTGATAAGTCTGTACGTTAAGAGAGAAGAACGCAAGTTCATTCAAACCATATCTTTCATTCAGTCACACTCCGAATTTATATTTGTATGATCGAGAATTCGAGATGCAGTATTAAACCCAAGAAAACTATTTCTGGCGGCGGCGGAGGCAGCGTGCCACGTCGTCGTTGTCATTATCGTCCTCCGGGACGCCGTTGTTAAAGTCTTTAAGGCAGCACAAAATGTTCTTCACTTGTAAATCAAACATCATGTCGTTGCATGCGCGATCGATGGGCGGGGTGCGGGAGGACAGCAACTGGCGCCGCTGAGAGATAGTGATTGACGACAGCGTCACATGCCGCTAAGGGGGGGCGCACAGGCATGGGCGCGGTGGGTGCAGCCAAACGCACGGGGACCGGCACCGCGGTGGGTGGAGGGGCGCGCACGGGCAGGGGCACAGGCGTGGCGGGTGCAGCCAAACGTACGGGGGCCGGCGCCACGGTGGGCGGAGGGCGTGCACGGGCACGGGCGCTAGCGCTGGTATGTATACGAGCTCGCGTGGGTCCGCGGAGACCTCGTGTCACGCCCAATATGCGACACTATCCTAAAGGGACTCGAAGGTCCCACCAAGGATAGAACCGCATATTGACACGCTTTTACAAGGTGGATATCATTACATCATACTATTACATAATATTTGGAATACGTACAAAAGGCATACAGTGCCACAAGAATACATCAATACATCATACATAGAACTGTTGGGAAACGCAGTAATTTCAAAACAATTCCTACGCACACACAAGATCTATCATGGTGATGCATAGCAATGAGAGGGGAAGAGTGTTGTCCATGTACCCTCGCAGACCGTAAGCGGAAGCATTATGACAACGCGGTTGATGTAGTCGTACGTCTTCACGATCCGATCGATCCTAGTACCAAAAGTACGGCACCTCCGCAATCTGCACATGTTCGGCTCGGTGACGTCCCATGAACTCTTGATCCTAGCTGAGTGTCGAGGGAGAGCTTTGTCAGCACGACGACGTGATGACGGTGATGATGAAGCTACCGGCGCAGGGCTTCGCCTAAGCACTACGACGATATGACCGAGGTGGATTATGGTGAGGGGGGCACCGCACACGGCTAAGGGATCAATGATCAACTTGTGTGTCTATGGGGTGCCCCCTGCCCCTGTATATAAATGAGCAAGGGGGAGGCTGGCCGGGCCTTGGTGGTGCGCCAAGGAGGGGAGGATTCCTCCTGCTAGTAGGAGTAGGACTCCCCTTTCCTAGTCCTACTAGGAGGAGGAGGGGGGGAAGGAAAAAGAGGGAGAGAGGGAGGGAAAGAGGGGGCGCCGCCCCCCTCCTTGTCCAATTCGGACTCCCAAGGGGGGGAGATGCCAGCCCTAAGGCCCCCTCCTCTCTCACACACAAGGCCCATGTTGGCCCATTAGTTCCCCTAGGGGTTCCAGTAACCCCCGGCACTCTGATAATTATCCGGTGACCCCCGGAACTCATTCGATGTTCGAATATAGTCATCCAATATATCAATCTTTATGTCTCGGCCATTTTGAGACTCCTCGTCATGTCCGTGATCACATCCGGGACTCCGAACTATCTTCGGTACATCAAAACACATAAACTCGTAATACCGATCATCACTGAACGTTAAGCGTGCGGACCCTACGGGTTCAAGAACTATATAGACATGACCGAGACACGTTTTCGGTCAATAACCAATAGCGGAACCTGGATGTTCATATTGGCTCCCACATATTCTACAAAGATCTTTATCGGTCAAACCGCATAACGATATACGTTGTTCCCTTTGTCATCGGTATGTTACTTGCCCGAGATTCGATCGTCGGTATATCAATACCTAGTTCAATCTCGTTACCGACAAGTCTCTTTACTCGTCCATAATGCATCATCCCGTAACTAACTCATTAGTTGCATTGCTTGCAAGGCTTATAGTGATGTGCGTTACCAAGAGGGCCCAGAGATACCTTTTCGATACTCGGAGTGACAAATCATAATCTCGATCTATGCCAACTCAACAAACACCATCGGAGACACCTGTAGAGCATCTTTATAGTCACCCAGTTACGTTGTGACGTTTGATAGCACACTAAGTGTTTCTCCGGTATTCAGGAGTTGCATGATCTCATAGTCATAGGAACATGTATAAGTTATGGAGAAAGCAATAGCAACAAACTAAACGATCATCGTGCTAAGCTAACGGATGGGTCAAGTCAATCACATCATTCTCTAATGATGTGATCCCGTTAATCAAATGACAACTCATGTCTATGGTTAGGAAACATAACCATCATTGATTCAACGAGCTAGTCAAGTAGAGGCATACTAGTGACACTCTGTTTGTCTATGTATTCACACATGTACTAAGTTTCATGTTAATACAACTCTAGCATGAATAATAAACATTTATCATGATATAAGGAAATATAAATAACAACTTTATTATTGCCTCTAGGGCATATTTCCTTCAGTCTCCCACTTGCACTAGAGTCAATAATCTAGATTATATTGTAATGATTCTTACACCCATGGAGTCTTGGTGTTGATCATGTTTTGCTCGTGAGAGAGGCTTAGTCAACGGGTCTGCAACATTTAGATCCGTATGTATCTTGCAAATCTCTATGTCTCCCTCCTTGACTTGATCGCGGATGGAATTGAAGCGTCTCTTGATGTGCTTGGTTCTCTTGTGAAATCTAGATTCCTTTGCCAAGGCAATTGCACCAGTATTGTCACAAAAGATTTATCATGATATAAGGGTATCCTATGAAGACACATTTCTCCGATTTGGGTTTGAGCTTATCAGGTTGAAGTTTTTCACATAAGTATCGCAACCCCAAACTTTAAGAAATGACAACTTGGGTTTCTTGCCAAACCACAGTTCATAAGGTGTCGTCTCAACGGATTTAGATTGTGCCCTATTTAACGTGAATGCAGCTGTCTCTAAAGCATAACCCCAAAACGATAGCAGTAAATCAGTAAGAGACATCATAGATTGCACCATATCTAGTAAAGTACGATTAAAACGTTCGGACACACCATTACGTTGTGGTGTTCGGGTGGCGTGAGTTGCGAAACTATTTTGCATTGTTTCAAATAAAGACCGAACTCGTAACTCAAATATTCTCCTCCACGATCAGATCGTATAAACTTTATTTTCTTGTTACGATGATTTTCCACTTCACTCTGAAATTCTTTGAACTTTTCAAATGTTCCGGACTTATGTTTCATTAAGTAGATATACCCATATCTGCTCAAATCATCTGTGAAGGTGAGAAAATAACGATATCCGCTGCAAGCCTCAATGTTCATTTGGACCACATACACCAATATGTATGATTTCCAATAACTCTGTTGCTCGCTCCATTGTTCCGGAGAACGGAGTTTTAGTCATCTTACCCATGAGGCATGGTTCACAAGTACCAAGTGATTCATAATCAAGTGATTCCAGAAGTCCATCAGGATGGAGTTTCTTCATGCGCTTTACATCAATATGACCCAAACGGCAGTGCCACAAATAAGTTGCAGTATCATTATCAACTCTGCATATTTTGGCTTCAGTACTATGAACATGTGTATCACTACTATCAATATTTAGTAAAAATAGACCACTCATCAAGGGTGCATGACCATAAAAGATATTACTCATATAAATGGAACCACCATTATTCTCTAATTTAAATGAATAACCGTCTCGCATTAAACAAGATCCAGATATAATGTTTATGCTCAACGCTGGCACCAAATAACAATTATTTAGGTCTAGAAATAATCCCGAAGGTAGATGTAGAGGTAGCGTGCCAACGACGATCACATCGACTTTGGAACCATTTCCCACGCGCATCGTCACCTCGTCATTAGCCAATATTTGCTTACTCCGTAGGCCCTGTTTCGAGTTGCAAATGT